ATGGGGCAGTTTATCTTCTGAATCACCTTACTAATCTGCAGCACTTCTCATTCTACAATGTCTGTGGTGCTCTTGAGGCTTTGCACAAGCAGCGTGATCAAGGAATTGTTTCAAATAATGGTTGCACTATGACCAAGGTTTTCCAGCTGCGTAACTTGCTTCTGTTTGGTTCCATGCAAGATTTGAATGTGTCGAGTGTTCAGTTTAGTATAAATTCCTGTCCCTTTGTGACAGAAGTGAAATTTGTGAATGTAGGGGATGATTTCCTTGGGCCACTTAAAGATCTGAAACATCTCAGGGTCTTGGAGCTTTGTGGAATACACAGAGATCAACTCACATTCCAGAATGGAGTTTTGCCAATTTTGGCATCAGTTGGACATAGTATACTTTCCCTTACGCTCGATGGTATCAATGACATAGATTTGTGGTTGATAGGTCTGCAGTGTGTCAATTTAGAAGAATTTGTGATTAGAATAGAAGAGGGTTTATACAACGAAATCAACTTTCCATCACATACTCAACCCAAGAAACTGATTACATCTGCCTTTTTGAAGCTTAGGCGTTGGACTATGTTTATTGGAACAGGAATATCTAACCTGTCCAAAGAGATGCTCCAGATTTTCCTGACAAATGCCAGACACCTTACATATCTAGTCTTTTCTGGAATAGATGTCTTTAACACTGCTGTTTTATCAGGGGTCCTGCAGCACAACCCTTTGGAAGATCTTGAATTATTGAAAGTAGAGAACTGTAACCAGCTAACCCCTGATCTCATATGGCATCTTCTTAAAGGGGAGAACAGTTTGACTTCAGTTTCCCTGCTTAATTGCAGAGAGATTTCACTTTCTGACTGCAATAGCTTTCAGCGTTTTGCTGATAAAAATAATTTTGATCTGAAAGTGCACTTCATTTAGATGAGTTTTATTTAGTGATTAGTGATTATTGTATTGCAGGGTCTAAGTTTAACAGATTTCAATGCTAGAGATGAAGCCATTAGAAATATCCACATTCTTTCATTTTTTTAAAAAATTCTTTTCCTCTCTTCTTGCACCTACTACAATGATTACCCATAATGACCTTTTACCCCCCCCCCATCTCTCATAAGATTCACATGCAGAATCCTGAACCTTTGTTTTCATCACTTAGTTTATTCACAAATAATTGGTGTAGATGGAGTTCAGGTTGCAATAACTAGATTATTCGCAGATAGATGAGCATGACCAATCAGAATACATGTGCATTCATGAAAGTTTTGCTATAGTGTGTGTGTGTGTGTGTGTGTGTGTGTGTGTGTGTGTGTGTGTGCGTGCGTGTGTGTGTGATTTAGATTTTTAACTTGGCTTTCACAATTTTCAATCTTATTGTTAAAATCTCTGCAGTGTGGCTGTTTATAGTGATGTCTTGCATTTGGGCACCATGCTGCAGTCAGTTGCTAGTACCATTTTATAAATCTTTGACATGACTTGGTCAAGGTTCAAACCCATGACCTTGTGCATCGAAGGCAGATGCTGTAAACACTTAGGCCACAAGAGTGTTCTGACAGAGAAAGTTAAATGAACAAATTGCTTAATCTTTGTCTTATCCCGTTTTTTCTTAACTTTAGGACTAATAACTGTGATATATTTTTACAACCTAATATGAATTTAAACTTTGTTTAAATTCATAATTCTTTGAACATATTTGTAATCTCAATTATTTACATGCACAGAACAAATGTACCATTAACTGTATGTTAGTTTGTTCCGATCAATTTTGTGTGTGTGTGTTAGATGAAAATTATTCTGTTACAAACAGTATTGCTAGAGTTTACTGTATCAGTCTTGAAATGCAAGTTTGTTATTAGTTTATGGGCAGGTGAATGTCCATAGAGCTTTATATTCAGGGTTGGAAGCTGATCTCAAAAACTTTGTAAAACCTAAAATATTAACCTTAAAAACCTAAATATAACTAAAAAACGGAAGAAAACCTAAATAATGATAATAAAAAGTCTTGAAAGTATGAAGAAAAAAAAATTTCAACACCTTTACCGCAATTTTGGTGATTTTTAGGGTTTTCGTCAATTCTACTCAATTCCGCTGATTATGGACTGGATTTATTAGCTGCATCAATTCCACACAAAATACGCGTTATATAGCGGTATACAAAAGGCGAATTTTGATCGACCAATACGTGCGACTCTATTCAGCGGTTCTGACCACATGTTATCAAGTGTAACGTCGTATACTCGTGGTTCCCGAACGTTTCTTCGCTGTTTCGAAGTTTCTCGAATATGCTCCATTAAGCAAACTGCTGTTTCTTGATCTTATACCTTTTGAACTTTTTCACTGGCACTACTTACTTAATTTACACGAACTATTCGGTCCATTCAAGTAACGAATCATTTTATCTGAAAAAGGTTCACACATGGCTTCCTTGGTTCCGCTTGTTTTATCTCTTTGTTGATCATCAGTTCTGCTAACGATTTCGCACAATATTACACGGTAATGAACTGTAATGAAGCATATGTCGCTCGTATGTATTGAAAAGAGACATGGGTGACTGAGTGGCCTTTGCCAATCGTTGCCATCTCACCTTTGTCGGGGTGGGTTCAAGTCTCGGACTCGGCCTTTGTGGGTGTGCGTGTGGGTGAAAGTTTGTCAGTAGTTTCCAGGAGGTCGAGGGTTATTGCCAAGATTTTTCCTGAATCCTCCCCACCTGATATACTGCCTTCATGTACAGCCAATCATGTGCTGAAAAATGGCGCTAAGCCCACAACAACAACGTTTATTGATAAAAAGCCAGTACACGCAGTCAACACCGTAAGTTAACATTCATTAAGAGTTAACGACTACTTCTTCGGTGATTGCCATATTGAAACTAGTACAGTCACGTGTTGCAACGTGTTTAGCAGCATAAACTTTGAATTTCAAGTAAAATGTAATGCCTCTATAAATCATTTGTACAGTGTAATTACCCAGATCGACAAAATGAAAGAAAATAAACGTGTAAAGTGTACAGAAACTTGGACTTTGTACTTGAAGGTTTCATTTTGTACGTTTGACGTCGAGATCGCTTACATAATAACTGAAAGTACCATGCACCTCTTGCTTTCTGTAAACTTTGATCAACTTTATGTATTTAAGTCAAATGGAAGAAACTTATATTCATAACATGGGCGCATCAACATAATCAAATTTAAGTACATGATTACGAATCCATAACGACATCTGGGTAAGGAGTCAGGGGGTGGGTTGGAGAGAGAGACGGACGACCGTATATGGAATTACTGCCATTAGTTGTCAGATAAAGTGGATAATTTGTGAATTGGCTTCTTGGTTCTTAACGACAGCGTTACTAGTGGTCCAGAGTGTAGTTCGTTCAGTCTAATAATCGTTATGCTCCAGCTGATGCAACCGGTTGACTTGATCGTTGCAAACATTTTCTGTGAACTACTGGCATATTAATTTTAGGCATTTAAATCATTCAATAATCGGGCCTTGATAAATTTATAAGCTTGAATAAACGTCATGCTTGTTTTCATTTTATAGTCTGCATGTAATTTATTTTAATGACCATCTTTAGCATTTTTGACAGGTTCGACATTTTGTCTGTGTGTGTGTGTGTGTGTGTGTCCGAGTGGTCTAAAGCGTTGTCCGTTACGGATCACTGTCATCTCACCTCTGTCTGCGTAAGTTCGAGTCTAGGATTCGGTGAATGTGGATATGTGAAAAAGCTTGCCAGTAGCTTCTCGTTGGTCGGTGGTTCTTTCCGGTGATTTCCCGGTTTCTTCCTCCACAATTAATACTGGCCGCCACGAATAGCCTATCGTGTGTTGAAAAATGGCGCTAAGCCCAACAACAACAACAAATATATACACACATATAGATATATACATACACACACACACACACACACATATATATATATATATATATATATATATATATATATATATATATATATATATATATATATATATATATATATATATATATTATCGTGTGCATCATCAGCAAGTTGCTGAGCCTGCAGTCCACGGGGAAACATTGTTGACGGTTGTTCATATTATCGTGTGCATCATCAGCAAGTTGCTGAGCCTGCAGTCCACGGGGAAACATTGTTGACGGTTGTTCACAGTGTGTGACATGGTCTGTAGAACTCTAAAGCAACAGGAAGAGTCGGTGGCCTGGCCCATTCGGACATGGTTGACTGCACAACAACTCCGTCCTGTCGAAAGGCGGTTCAGCGTGTCCACATGACGTGGAAGTTTGAAGCCAGGAATGCAGACAGATGGCTCATGCCAAAATAGCTGTCGTATTCTCTGGCAATGAACCTAACCTGATTGGGCGTCTCGAAGTCAAGCGGACTGCTGGATGGGAGATGATGTCCATGTATAGTGGAAATTTCTCACTGGCATAGACCCTAACCAACATTTCTTTGGTTGCTTTCTGGCAACGCAGATGTTGAGGAGCAATGTTGCTGAGTACTGGCAGCCATGGCAAAGGAGTAGTACTTATTTTCCCGAAATTATACGCGTTGTTGTCAATGTTGTGTTCAGCTAGACTTCAGTTAACTTAGTGTGGGATGGTCGACTCCAGACAGGAGCGCAATACTCAGCAATTGAATAACACAGGGCCAGTGCTCATGTCTTGAGAGACTGAGCACTAGCATTCCAGGCTGAGCCAGCCAGTTGGCGGAGTAGGTTGCTTCGAGTGCTCAGTTTTGCTGCAGTTTTCTTCACGTGGTTGTAGAATGTCGGTGATCTGTCCAGAGTCACACCAAAGTACATTCGGTGTCGGGTCATGTCTTATTTGATGTTAGATATCATATAGATATTGGAGGATGATCGGAGTGAATTAAGAACGTTAATTAAACTTGTTTTAATTAATTAATTAATGCATTAATATATCCAGTAACATATTAACAACTGCTTGCTTTGCAGAATCATCGTTTATTACAAGTTAATAAGAACTGAAGAAATTATTTTCATCTTCAGTTTTACTTCATACGCATGCGATACCGCTCCGGTGGCCTAGTGGTTAGAGCGTACGTCTCAGATGCGGGAGATCGCGGGTTCGAACCCCGGCTGAGTCATACCAAAGACTTTAAAAATGGTACTAGCAGCTGTCTCGCTTGGTGCTCAGCATTAAGAGGTTAGTGTTAGGACTGGTTGGCCTGAAGTCAGGATAATGTGACTGGGTGGGACATCATGAAACATGTCTGCGGCGTGATGCCCCTGTGCTAGACATCATTATGAACTGTCGCAAACTGCAGACATCGTAGCGATATGACTGAAAAATTGTTAAAGTTACGTGAAATATCTAAATCACACACACATACACATGCGATGAATATTCTTAGTGCTGCCTTATTGTCAGCGCTGCCAAATATACTTCTCTCAACCCTCACTGAGTGGAAAGAGATTCGACAAGATTTTTCGGTGCGGAAATTCTTACCCCGTATTCAAATCCAAAATATATTTACATTTTTTTATTTTGTACATAATTTAATTTAATTTTGCTACGTAATGTACTGTACCCACTCTGTTTTAATAAGAAAAACATCTAGCATTTACCGAATATGGAAAATGTTAACCATTATCTAAATCAATTTTATGTTATCATCTTAAACATTTTTATGTGCTATATTTGTACGGTCGCTAGATTTTAATTACCTTTCCTACGTTTTCGTTGTCATACATTATTTTCAATCCCCGTTGATCAGGAAACTATCTTTGGTATCACCGTTACCATTTTTATCGTTTTACCTTTAGCTAATTGGTTTCGTATCGCTGGCCGCTACAGAACCTTTTTACCATTTGTACATAATGAAAAATATAACCGTTTGTATGGCGCTTAATGGCCTCTGTGCTGCTGCGCCGTAAAAATTCAACCAACCAACCATCTAAATCATAAAAACCAAATTTACTTTTCTGATTACGCCTGTTTGTTTTGTATAGATGGCGAGGGTGACGTTTCTTTTTATTAAATCACACTTAGCTTGAGCAAAACTTTAGCCCACTGGTATCGGCACTAAATGATATACTTCTGGTGTTACTGACAGTTCACCAAACCAAAAACTTCCCTTACACTACGTCAACCGTTTGACCAGTAGTACAATGTTTACAAAGTTCAATCCATTAAAACCTACAAACAGAAGAAAAAAAACTGTTATCTCATATTTTAATAATTATTTACACTGCCTTATTAAGTGAAAATAGCATTTTTCCTACATTGTTATCAAACCCAAACCCGTAAATAAATCATTCGCAATTACTCCTTGGCTAAAGGATGTCATTCCCCCTCCTTATTTGTAAACCCTCTTGAATAATGGTTAATATAAGTTATTCTTCAACGTTCATTTTTTAAAATCATCTGGTTCAGTAGTCATCCTATTATTATTATTATTATTATTATTATTATTATTATTATTATTATTATTATTATTATTATTATTATTATTATTATTATTATTATTATTATTATTATTATTATTATTATTATTATTACTATTATTATTATTATTACTATTATTTTTATTTATTTATTTATTATTATTATTATTATTATTTTTATTATTATTACTATTATTATTATTATTACTATTATTATTATTATTATTATTATTATTACTATTATTATTATTACTATTATTATTATTATTATTATTGTTATTATTACTATTATTATTATTATTATTATTATTATTATTATTATTATTATTATTATTATTATTATTATTATTATTATTAATTACTATTATTATTATTATTACTATTATTTTTATTATTTTTATTATTATTATTATTATTACTATTATTATTATTATTATTATTATTATTATTATTTATCTTCTAAGTGCGAAGAAAACACGGTTCCAAAAGAAATTGCAAATTACTTTATCCAGGATTCGGCAGTAATGGGTCTATCTCATTCACGGTCGTATCATATTCGCAGTAGAACCTATTAACAAAAAAACAAAAAAAAAAGAAAGAAAGAAAAAGATTTGGCGTCAACAAGCTTAATATTTATCCAATATATCCCCATAAAATACATCCAGATAAAAATAAATACAAAGAAATGTCACGAAAATTGAATAGCTTGCCGAAGGCTGCTGGAGAGTCTCCAAATAATTCCAATATATCCAGGATTATTTCTTTTCACTGGTCAGTTATCGACCACTGCTTTTGTGTGGGAATTCAGACATATCTGTCTCTCATATAAATTGTAGAAGTCTTTCGCTATCATTATACCAGTGCTTTTATTTAAATATTTATTTATTTATTTATTTGGCACAGTCGGCGGGTTAATATAATCTAATAATCGGTATTAACGTTATTTTGACTTCAGGACTATAATACACTGCGCCGAGATGGTGACGTAAGAAAAAGAGGAAGTATTACATTTTGTCCAAATATGTCTTGGCGTAAATCTAATATAACAATGCTAATGACGAAGAGACGACTCGAGACAACTTTTCAGAAAGGTTTGATCTTTAAAAAAAATAATGTAGATTTACATATCTGATCAAACCGCTCCGGTGGTCTAGTGGTTAGGGCGTCCGCCTAGGATGCAGAAGGTCGTGGGGGTTCAAACCCCGGCCGAGTCATACCAAATACTTTAAAAAATGGTACAAACAGCTGCCTCGCTTGGCGCTCAGCATTAAGAGGTTAGTGTTAGGACTGTTTGGCCTGGTGTCAGGATAATGTGACTGCGTGGGACATCACATTACATGTCTGCTGCATGATGCCACAGTGCTAGAAATCACTATAAACTGTCACTGCGGACATCGTAGCAATATTACTGAAAAACATGTTTAAGCTACGTTAAAAATCTAAAACACACACACATACACACACACACTGATCAGATAAAATTTTGTTTGAAGTACTGGTGTTCGTTTAAGAAAAGGTTATTCTAATGCTTTGTTTTTAAAAAGAAATTGCCAACAGCTGTATTCACATCTCCACCGTAATGGCTTTATCTCATTCACGGTTGTATCATATTCACGGTAAAGCTTGTTGACACAAAAATTAGATTTGGCGTCAATAACCTTAATATTTATCCAATTTCTCCCCTTGCAAAACATCCCGATAAAAAATAGCTATAAAGAACTGCGACTTAAATGTAAGATCCTACCAAAGGCCGTTTGAGATTAGCAAAATAATTCCAATACATCCTGGAGCGACATCTTTTATTCGATGATTATCTACCACACGTTTCTTTTTTGTGTGTGGAAATTCAAACTTTGTCCATATCTCAGTCTTTCACATAGAATGCAGAAGTCTTTCACTGTAAATATACCGGTATTTTTATTTATTTATTTATTTTTACATTTTATTTTGGTACTGTCGACGGGTGAATATAATCTAATCATCTATATTATCATTGTTTTTATGTTAAGACTGCTACATTGCACCGAGAGGGTGACGGAAGGTAAAAAAAAAAGAAAGTATTACATTTCGTCCAAATGTTTTCGCTACGCCTCTGAATCTAATAGAACAATATTAAGGACGAAGACTGCTAAGGACTACTCTCGACAACTTTTCAGAGAGGATTAATCATTAAAAAGATAATGCAAATTTGCATCAGATAAATTTTGCCCAATTTGACGACCACGCTTAGCACCTACGTCAGTTTGAATAAATTAATGCCTGTTACTCTTAATTCGCTTTCACGCCTGTTATAGGACTATGTTGTTTAGTTATTATTCATCCATCCGGCTAAAATAGGGAACTTGTTAATGTTTTTACTAATCTAGCACGTGACTCGTTTCAGTCTGCGGCATACGGCGCAGTTCAACTTCGTAACAGTAAATTAAGATACTATCCACAACTGGTAAACAATGTGACGAGAACGAAAGTTGTTTTGACTTTACATGTTTCTCAAATTTATCCGTATACCTCGGACACACTGATTAAGTGAACGCGATATTCAAGCCGATAAAGCCTTGCCTCCATTTTTCTTTGTTAAGCTCAGGTTGTCAGGTACACTCTTGATCCCGAACGATGCAGTTAAAAAGATAAGGTAATTTATATCAATTTATTTCCTATGAAGTCGTTGTTGAGGGTAGTTTACGGACGTTTTCTCCAAAGCTTTCTATGTGATCAATAATTATGATGCTCTATTAAAAAGGGACCGTTTTTGTGAAATTGGCAGTGGTTGCCGTGAACCATCTTTATCAATGACACGTTTTCTAATCAAACGGATGATTTGGAGGTGGATTATTTTTTAACGTAGCTTTGAAAAAAATTTAATCATATCGCTACCAACGTCTGCAGTGTTGCAATTTATAGTGATATCTAGCAATGTGACATCATGCCGCATACATGTAGCATCGTGTCCCATCCAGTCACATTATCCTGACACCAGGCTGACCAATCCTAACATTAACTTCCTAATTCTGAGCGCCTATCTGTAAGTACCATTTTATAAGTTTTTGATATGACTCGACCTTGGTTCGAACCCGCAACCTCCAGCATTCGAGGCGGACGTTCTAGCCTATATATATATATATATATATATATATATATATATATATATATATATATATATATATATATATATATATATATATATACTGTCCCATATACTTTTCACCCTTTACCAATAATTCCTTTTTGTTCATTTTTGTTCTCATTGTAGCAGAATTCTTGTGCGCCAAAGTTTCTTTTTCTTTGGCACCCTTTACAAAACGATTATAATGGATGATTTTCCATTGGTCGCAATACTTTCAGTCGGGTTCTTTATGACTTGACACCTTTTTACTGGAATTTTTCATCAATTGATCTCGTTCCACCTACCCATGCAAACTGAAACGTACACCATCGCCAAATCGTAGGTTGTCCCAAGTGTTGGTTTTTGCTCATAGTTTTTCCATCTTTATCTTGTAACTTGCCAGAAACATATACCAGATGGGAAAAAAATTATATTTTCGTGATATCCAAACCTCAAATCATTCAGTATTTTTTTTTAGAATCTTTTGCAATGGTTTTAATCAAAACATTTAATTAAGGCATGGGACTTTTAAGGGTGTTAAACAAATCTTTGATATAAAAGCAATCTCTACGTTGCAAGTGAAATGCCATCTCTTACAGAAACTGTCGTTCTTTTTCATGCCGCAGTTATGATTAACAATATTGAATATAACAACCTGATGCAAGGTACCAACGCTGGGATAGTTTTCACTAATTAATCAGGATCATCATCCAGTAAATGGACAAATAAAATATAAACGTAATTGGATTATCGTGTAATTGGATTATTGTGAATGAACGTGATAAATTCACGCGGGTTAAATGTACACCATACTTTCAAGATGTACTTAAAACCCGCTGACGATACTTCAGATGAGATGTTTTTTTTTGGGGGGGGCGGGGTGTATGAGAGTATTTACTGTCGACCGCATTTCAGTTAGAATTGTTTTAAATTGATTTACCAATATCATTATAATACAATAATTAACTTTTTATGACATTAATGGAGGATTTTCATGCCCGAGAACCTTATAGTCATACAAGCCATAAAGTCCAGTAAATGTTTTATTATGGTCATGGCATCACTAATTTTCCGATGTTCATTGATGAAATAGTACCAAGACAACGATGACTACGTTTGAGATGCATAAAAAAACACACAATAAGAGCTCAACCATCAGTATTAGATCACTTGACTCGCATTAAAAAATAAAGACATATCATCGACTTCAGAAATAAATTTTGTTATTCCTTGTCTTACATTTTTATGTCAAAAATCATAAAATCATTCGTTTTAAAAAAAACGGTACAGACAAGCTAATAGTACTACCCCCTCCCCCCCCAAAAAAAAACAACAGGGAAGGAAAGTAACATTGTTACCGGTACTTCCTGGTACTGAATCTGCCATGAGCATTCTTTTTTTTTTTCGAGATGAACTCGACGATTAAATCTTCGCATCAATTTGTAACGACGAGATGGCTTTGTATCATTCAATCTGCAGGTTATTTGATTTAAATTTGTTCGACATTACTTTTTTTGTTAAATTTAAAACAAAATTGGCTATGTTTTTATAATAAGAATCAACCAGTAAAGCGTGGAAATTCTTGAATAAGGATTTGACATTTTAATAGTCGTCATTCGTTGACATTTTATCCAAATAATGGGGTGTTAGTTAACCCGGTATTAACAGTGACCATCTGTGTTTTTTTTTTGTTGCTAGGAATGTTTTGAAAAGACATGATTACTTATTTAAATTAATGCTTCCTGTTTTTGTGCGCAAATATCATACCATTTTACTTTGTGGTTAATTTGTTTCATTTTTATCCCGCCGCAATTAAATATTTTTCAGGTAGGAGGTTGAAGAAATTATATTAGGCCCAGCGGCTACGTCTTCATGTTTAATACATGAAATTACCTGGGCAAAATATGAAACTTCAAGAAGAATCATAGAAGTAATAAAAGACGATTGGATATGATTTCATGAAAAGAACCCTGTAATATCTTTAATTTTGCAAGATCAAAGATAAAGTGAAAGCGAAGAAATAATAGTTAATAAATTTTTCAGAAATAGTGGTTAACTAAATCAGTAATGAGTCCACAGATCTCGTGTTTCTCTGCGAAGGCAAACTCTAATAGACTGTCTCCTTTTTGGCGTGCTAGCATTATTCAATTAACTTTATCCAGTCGAATTGGGGATTTCATTGTAAAATTAATACAGGAGTTAAAATATGTAATTAGATCGGAAGATGAAAGAGAATTGAAAGAAATCGCTTTCAGCACATCTCTGTGTTAGTAAAAAAATACATTTAATTTTGCATACACACGGGTTTATTACTTCCAATTAGCGAAAAACAGAGTATGTGAAGCGATCTCTGCGATGTTTGTAATAAGAGAGACCGTTAAATTATTCGCTGACGGCGATTACTTCGGAGTACACGGCTCGTTTGCTGTGCGTCCAGGTAGTTATATACCGTACGAGTCGTCGATAACAAAAGGACTATTCTACCAGACACAAGCGAAGTGACTGATTTAAATTTTAATTTCCTATAATATATAACAATTAATATTCACGAATTCCTAAATAATGTGTACATTTCGATTCGTAGGGCCATGCTTAATCTGTATGCTAGTATTAGAACTTTTTCACATACAATGAACGCTGAAGACAAAGTCATAGCATTTAATAGCAAGGTATGAATCGATGTTGTAAACATTGCGATTCCTTAACGCATGGCTCATTTGTCTGTTGGTATATCAATTTTGCCGGCGCTTAATTCAGACCACGAAACCGTCAAATACCTTTCTCAAATTCCAATTACTGAAGTTCTAAGGATTATAGATATAAATCCCGTCGGGGATTATCTGGGTAACCTGATATTCTCCTGCCCCAGTTTATATTTTAACCGACATTTGTAATAATTGCAATATTTTAGACTGAAAATATCAGAAAGGATAGACTTTTTTTTAAAAAGAGGCACACTTAAAATACTACGAGAGCCACAATCACACGTTTATCCGAGTCAACGGAAATTGTCATTATTTCTGAACGAAAGGTGGACACAGAGTACCTCGAGTCAGTCTTGACTAAAGAAGCGCTCAATCTGATTACAGTTCTAAAATGCTGTTTTAGGAA